CTGTCTCTTCCTAGGAAGGAGGATGGGTCTGAAAAGGGTCAGCCCTGGTCAGAAAGGCCCCTGGTACCTACTTGGCTAGAAGGCAGGGCTGGGTTTGGGACAGGGATTCCCCGGTCTGTGTATTTGGGAGGGTTAAGTAAACTGACAATGGCTTCGTACAGTGCTGACACTCAGCGTGTGCCCAGTTAGTGCTGTAGTTATAACGTGACCTTCCCTGTCTCACTTCCTGCTTGAGGGGGGGGGGGACCCAGGCGCTCCCCTTGCACAGCCTGGGCTCCCATTAGGCTACAGCTTCCACCTTGGTTTTCTAGGTAGGCACAAGGCAGGAGCAGAGCCCATGAACCCGTGAGCCTGAGCCTCTTCAAGAGCGGAAAAGGACATTCCGGACTGGCCCCTCTTTCCTGCTCCTTCTCACTTACCTCCCTGGAAAAACACCCCCACTCATTACAGAGCCACAGCCGGGCCCTGGCTCACACCCTGCTAAAGGCGCTGAGCAATTAGATCGTTAGCACGGCCCCCACCCACCTGCTCCAGCCCCATCACTTTGTTTCAACTCCAGTGCCTTCCTCTCCATCCATGGCAGGCTGGCCCTGGGGTTTTTGCCCTGCAGAGCCCCTTCCCTCCCTTTCTTCCCCCAGTTAGGGGCCCCTTTTCTCACAGAGAACCCCTTTCTAGCCAAAGGCCTCCCGGCCTCCGAGAAGTATGATGCTGTGTCTGCCTCCGGTCATCTTGCGGTGGCCCTAGTACCAGCTTTCCTCCAGCTAGAAGTCTTTCCATGGGGGAAGCTGCCACCCTGTGACCTTCTGGCCTGGGGACAGCGGCTGCGATGTCTATGATAGCTCTTTCTTCTTGGGCTCCCCCTACCCCTTTGTCTCTTCTTGTCCCAGTTTCTCTGAGTTCTCTGGAACTGTCTTCCCTTGGCCCCTTCATAATGACTTCTATTCTCCTTTCAACTCAACCCACATTGTCTGGGCCGGGATCCACCAAGACCTGTCAGATCCCTGATTGGATAGACACCTCTTAGTAGTGGCCCTGGGTTGACCCCCTGTTCTCAGGGCCCTGGAGCCCTCAGCCACAGAGGGGTCAGCAGAACCTCGAGAGTGTTCGTCCCCAGAGCTGAGAGCGGAACAGAGCTGTGGGGAGGGACCAGGTGACCCAGCAAGCAGGCCTGTCAGAAGCCTTCCTAGGAGAGGCCTGTTACTGACCGGCTTACACATGCCTTGTTCGTCCCCAGATTCACAGTCAGGGCTGAGGGCTCCCAGGGCCCGGGGGAAGGGCCTGTTCCTTGTCTTCCCTGTCTAAGGTCAATGGGCTGAGGTTGGGCAGAGCCTGGCACCAATGCCCAGCTGCTGTCCGGCGTTCCCACAGCTCCGGTGCCAGTGTGTGAATGAGGAAGTGAGGGGAGGGTGTGGGAGATGGGACTCCCCACCATCTTTTGGCTGGGATCCCAGCCAAAACCCTGAGGCTCCAGGAAATGATGGAACTGGGGAGCAGCCATGGGGTCGGTGGGGGCTGGCTGGCAGCTCTCAGGAAGGAGAGTCCAGCGGGGCTGGCATGGGCCAAGCCTCCCGCAGGACGAATGGACGACAAGGGGCCTCTCTTCCCCAGGGCCTCTCCACAAAGGTCTTGGCTATGCTGGTGAATGGGAGGGGGTGGAGAGGAAACTGAGGGCCACCCGAGGAAAAGCAAGGTTGTTCCCAAAGGCCTCTGCACTCCTAGGAGAAGGCCCTGGGCTGGGGTTCCCGGCCTGGGCTCAGGCCCAACTTTGGCTTGGATCTGTTGAACTAAGGGGCAACTTTCTGAGCCTTTCTGAGTCGCTTCAGTTTCCTCTGCCCTGGTTAGCGTTCCCTCCCCTCTTGATTCTCTACCTCTACCTCCTGACAGACATTCTCCGGGCTGCGCAGGAACAGCCCCTCCACTTTGGGCACCATGGCCTAAGACACTTCTAAGTTGCTGCAAATCAGTGACCAGTGGCCTGCTCCTTGCAAGCTGTGTGGCCCCCAGGAGCCCTCTTGGCTTCCCAGACCTGTCTGCCAAGGGCCTGGGGGCATCACCAGGATCCAGTGACATGTGAGGGACCAGGGTGGCCAGCACAGCTGCTCTCCAAGGTTCCTTTCGCCTGCTGGTCTGTGTGTCTGTCCCACAGAGCTTTCTTCCAGTTTGTGATCGCTGAGCCCGGGCTCTTCCTTCACAGTACACCCCCATGGTTTGTGCCTCACCTTTCCAGAAGCCTCGCTATATTCTTTCGTGTCCAGTTCTTTCCCAGGCTGACCATTTTTCTTTGGTCAGTCCTTCTCGGAGTCTAACCTTTCATTGTAGGCTGCTCCTCCCCAGGGGACGGCCTCTTTCCCAAGCTGCTCTGCAGCTGGAACCCAAGGGGAAAGGGAGGGCGGCAGGCTCTCTGTAACCCTGAGAAGAGAATGCCTTCTCTCCTCATCTGCATATAGACAGACTCATCTGCATACAGACAGGCTCATCTGCATATGCTCAGTGGGACTCTGAGAGCACACACTTAAGTGAGTGACTGCCTGGTCCCACCCACTTCAGTCCTGGAATCCCTCTTCAGGGAGGAACTCCCCTCTGTCCCTTGCCCTTCTGACCTCGTCTGGGTCTGGCTAGGTCTTTCAGTTACTAAAAAGCAGCCCAGCCTCTGTAGCTACCTCCTGCCTCTGCTTGCTCCCATCCCAATCTCTCCCCTGCTCTGTTGAGAGAACTCCTTACCCCTACCCATCCTCCACAGATCCCATGAGGGTTCTAGAAAGCTGCTAGAGCAGGCACAGGATTGGCTCAGGACTGGCCACCACTTCCCACCCCTAGGTCCCTGAAGACTGGTGCTCCAGCCTGGTAGTGGGAGGGGATGGCCAGTTTTCACTTGCCCACACAGGGACCTACCCTTGGGGCCACAGTGGGTCCTAACAAGGTTGGCCTTGGAAAGAGCCCCTGAAATGAAGGCTAGGACATTAAGAAGCACTATTCTGGCCTGATGAACTCCATAAATAGACCAGCAGTACCCATAGCCCTATCAGACACCAGGCCCTGTCCTTGTGGAGGATCCTGAGGCTCGTGGGTCTCAGGGGCTTTCCTAACGCGGACATGCTGAGGACCCTGCAGCTGGTCCTATCCCTCCATAGACTCAGCCCCTCTGTAAAATGAGGACTTGAGCTAGACCAGGGCACCCAAGCGGGTTTGGAACCCAGGGCTTTAGCATGCAAGGCAGACGCTTTGCCCCTGACAGGCTGAGGCTATGATGACTCTGGAAGTGCCATCTTCAGGCAGTGTCCAGTGTGTCAGTGCAGGGGTGCTGGTGGAGAGCACTGCAGTGTTCAGTGTGTGTGTGTGTCAGTGCAGGGATGCTGGTGGAGAAGCACTGCAGTGTCAGGTGTGTGTGTGTCAGTGCAGGGATGCTGGTGGAGAAGCACTGCAGTGTCCACTGTGTGTCAGTGCAGGGATGCTGGTGGAGAAGCACTGCAGTGTCGGATGTGTGTGTGTGTGTGTGTGAGAGAGAGAGAGAGAGAGTTCAGGGATGCTGGTGGAGAAGCACTGCGGTGTCCAGTGTGTGTCAGTGCAGGGGTGCTGGTGGAGAAGCACTGCAGTGTCCAGTGTGTGTCAGTGCAGGGATGCTGGTGGAGAAGCACTGCAGTGT